TTTTTTTTTTCTTTTCCGACCGACCGACCCAAAATCAGAAAACACATTCGACAATAGCCGAAAAAAAAAAGGGGGATGGCCTTATTAACCGAGCAGGGGGTCTGTATGGCAGAATCTTCACCGAGGTCGCCAGTACAGACCTCACTGCGTTCGGTCTGTACCAGCAACCGAGGTCAAGATTCCCCCATACAGACCGACCTAGCTCGGTTAATAAGATGTTTATTGTATGGCTGTGTCTAGAAACCAACGGAAAATTATATTCTTTATAACTTTTTTTTCTAGACCGGTCTAGATGCCGGTCTAGATGGGAAATTCTAGACCGCTTTCAAAATTGATTTCAGCCAATCAAAGTCTTAAATTCGGTAGTTACCAGTCCTTGTGAGACACAGCCATGTAATAATTGTCTTTATTCCCATCACTTGTCTGCTTCATATTGTATTGACATTGTAAGGAGAAATGCTGTCTTGGTCACTGGCAGAGGTTAAACAAGATTTTTCTCCCTTGTAATCCATGTAGTTCTTTTCCACCCTTAGGCATCCTTGACGAAGGTTTTCTACCCTGACCAAGCATCAAGTGCTTTACTGCGAAGGATCGTGCTCATATACGTCTCATAACCGCAGTTCACACATATGTTCCATATGTTTGTTGTTGTTTGAATAACCATACAGTCAAACTTGAAAATTCTTTTGAACTAATGGCGATTTTTCACAGATTTCACCTCACTTACTACTAATTTCCCTATTTCCTGCTTGAGTTTACTTTGCTGTAGCCTCTACTACTTTCCAACGCACTGATTAACGAAATTATTAATTGTAAGTTAAAAAAGTTAATGACATATAATTAAGCTGTAATCTGAAAATGTTTTCAATTATTTACACCAAATCTGTACTCCAGAAAAATAAAAACAATATTCATTATGTTAAAAGTTCAAAACTGTTTTAGATATATTGGGCTGTTCTTGACCAAATAGAAGTATTACTTCAAATGAAATGTATTGACCTGAGAATGTAAGTGAACAAAGTTTAAACAATGTAAATAAAGTACATGGCTAAGACAGAAGCCTTGAGGCTGATCCTTGAATACAGACAGACCAGAATTCCTTTCATGGTATTCCTTTAAACCACCATATAAAAAGCATGCCTTGACGTGATTGAAAATACAAATGTAATGATTGCCATTCCAAAGTGTTGCACTGTGAAGACATAGATGCTTGCTATTCAAGAAAATTGTAGCTGGTAAATCACTAATTTTCAAGTTGCATCTTCTACTTAACAAATCAACAGAGAAGATAACAAAGTTCTTGAAACAGGAAAATGTGCACAGAGAAATTGATCTTATTCCAGCACAATGCCACGATACTGATCTCGTCCCATCACAGTTTAATGTGACATCAGAGTGGCATAGTACAGTTGAAGAGGGCTTGTGTTGGAACTTTCTCTGACATTGAGTGGTCCTGGAATGGAGCCATTCACTGAACAAAGCATTACTATTGTTACAACCAAGTGAAATACTGTGTGAGTTGTAAATGTCTCTCATTGAGGGGGAGGTTGCTTGGTTACATGGTGACATCATCTCTGTCGCCAGAAATGGCAGTAAAGTTCTAATAAAATAATCAGCTTCATTACCATAACAATCAGTGACTCCGTTCGCTACAACCAGATGCTGCGCAAACAAAATCTTTGCATCTGCAAACTTGTCATTTTCAATCAATGTCAGTGCAAAGTTGATTAGGTCCCCAGCTTGAGGTAAATCTTCCAGAGGCATTCTACCTGACCTTGGCAATGATAGGAATATCATCAGCCAATTATCAATGGGACAGGTGTTAACTAAGTTTACCCCATAACTTGTTGTTTCATTCCAAGGAAGAACTCTTAAATTACAATGTGATAATAAGTTATCATCAGTAGAAAGATCTGAAGAAGCCCAAGTGGTAAGGGTAACAGCTACATCAATTTCATCTCTATTAAAACCTTCTGGGTTACAAACACTGTCACTGTTATAATTTGGATATATCAACAAAGTTGAATTGGTAAATTGACCACCGTAACGATTACAAAAGCTGACGTTGCGAGCATTAGCTCTTTGTCGGAGCGAAGGGATAACTGTCACTGTTACCCAGGGAAACACCAGCACTATCACTTTCACAATCATCAGAGACATCATGATCATCAGTGTGGCTTTCAAAGCTACTATCTTGAGAGTCAGGTGATGCATCTGTTAAAAAAGATCTTGACATTACAAATGGGTCCAGATTTCTTGGGACGTGCATCTCAATGATTTCTGGTGCTATGACTCTTTTCCACAATGCAGAAAGCTTTAGCAATATATTATTGATTAATTGCTCATCTTGATAAATTCTTTCAACTGATATCGGACCATCTTTGGCTTACAGAACAAAGTCACAAAATTGTCTTTCTGTGACTAGCAATTGGCATTGAATCTGATAGTAGTAACTATGCGATTTTTTCAAATTACATTTGTTATCTTGTATAACAAACATTGTCTCTTCAGAATGTCTTTGGAGACTAATATTCTTTGTTTGTAATTGATTACATTCTCAATAGTGTGGTCATGAAATATTTTTGAAGATTTAATTTCAAGAAGACCATTGTTACCCACTAACCCATCAGGACTGCAGCCAATGAATGGGAACTTTGGATTAACCCAAAGTCCTGTCAGTGAAACAGAAAGGCTTGTTTGCATATCGTACTTATTTATGGCTAATAATTCAGTTTGTAACCCGTAGGTGATCCATGCAGTTTGAAGATTTTGATTGTTGAGATTCCATATATGAGAGGTGATAAACTTCTTCGATGATCATGCAGCATTGTTAGAATTTTCAATGACACTTTTGCCAACTTTGTATGCTTCTAAACATTTTGAGGCTGTGAGACGAAACCACCGTTCTGACCTCCATTTTTCTGAATGACTTTGCTTTTTTGTTCCGTCGATTTCCATAAGACTGGTCAGCGTGATGTTCGCAAAAAGAGCTTCAACTTTCTAATAGAGGCAGATTTGATGGATCAAAGTGGTAGTCATCGTAGGTAACAAACAACTGAGTTTCCCACATTGACACATTTGGTTGACTGATACGGCTTGCAAATTAACTACTAACTTGTTGATGTTCTTGCTTGTAACTTTTTGATACTCCTCGGGTCGAGGATCAAAGTTGATGACCTGTAGTTTGCCTTGCTTTTGTTTAGTTGGTTATATGGCATCACATGATTTTTGTGGATTTTTTACGTTTTTTTTGCATTATTCCAAGTACATTCTTGACTTGTGCAAGGCATTATCTTTTTTGACCCGTGTTTGTTTACATGGTCGACTAATGTAAGACTGCTACAACGTGGCTACATCGACGAAGTTCGGATGTTTTATATGAAGAACAAGAAGCATGGATAACTGCTCCACTTTGGAGCAGTTATCAATTTATTTGGATTTCCTCCCCTGGGGTGGGATGGATGGGTTACTGGGCCCGCAGTGATTGGCGTAAAGCTGTTGCGGTGTCCCTGCCTGTCAGCAAATCTTGTAAATAAATAAAATAAATAAATAAAACTTTTTCCGGATAATACAACGTTCACATTGTGAGGCAGGTCACCCTGCATCGATGGCCAAACATGGGCTCTCACGAAGTAGTGCTCGTCAGTTTTGTCATTTAAATCGTGAACAAACCCAGAATCAACATACTTTCTGCCTACGGTACATGGTTTGTCTGTCATGTGTCCTACTCCAGTGTCAAGAATTTTGTTGTTATCTTCTTCTGCAGTATTATCCTCAACAAATGGCAGCGATTCCAAAGCATAGTGATACACATGTCCATAGTTGAAAAGTGACGGGATATCTTGTGATGGGAACGCTCTCCATCCAGTTTTCGGAATTACTGGAACCGCCAGATCATTATAATGCCTTTGATCGACTTTCTTCTCTTTCAAAATCTTTGCTTCCAGCCATTTCCCATTGTCTGTGCTAGAATCAAGGACATAAAAGTTGCCCGATTTGAGGCAATCGCGAATACGTGCAACAAGGTCTGTTCGTTTACCGCTTAATCTTAAACCTCAACACTTAAGCCAACGCTTCAATTGTGATACCATATAGTTCTCTAGGTCTTGCTTGAACTTCAAGCCAGGAACACTGTCGTTTTCAGTTAAAATTCTAGCTTTTGATGTGTTTGAACTAGATATAAGCGGATCGTCGTCCATATTCCTTCACTCGAGAAGCTGTTTGTTTGTCCTAATCACTGCAGGGGTTGAAAAATCCTGACGTCACATCCGCTCAGCGCCATTGGGACTTTGCCTTAGGGTCCTGTTTTTCCAGGTTATGGGATCCACTTGATACAGGGTCCACTGTCTTATTTTTTGCAAGTACCTTAAATAAGAAGTGGCTATGATTTTTTTATTATAGACAAGAGAGGAACCAAGATGAAAAGTACAAATTCTGGAAGGCTGTGGAATGTATTGTTGACAAAGATGTCATCCGCACAGATAGATCACATCCATACTTTGCTGGCAATGATAATCCAAATGTTATCATTATGAGGTATTACAAACATCTATCTAAATAATTATGATGTACTTACATTATTTTTGGCACAGGTTGGTATCCTAGAGTCGATAATAGAATGATGATCATTATAGACTACCAGTAGTCCCTCTTTTTGAGTTATTTAAAAAAAAAACTATATGTTAGCGTATAGATTGGTGTATTGTGGTGTAGTGTAACCTGATCAGCGCAATTTGGTGTATCTCTAAGGAGTTTGATTGGGGCATCTTTTTTTGTGTGTATCTCAACGCAGTGTGATTAGCCCAATTTTTTGTTGTATCACAAACCAATCAGATTTTAGTATTTTTCTATGTCGCACCAATCAGAGCATTCTTGCTAATATGTGGTTTGACAGGTCTTCAAATTTCAGCGAATACACATTTGAGTCAGAGAGAGTATCAGTCATGTTGGGAAGGTGGTGGAGTTGTGATAGTTGTGCAACTATGCTTATTCCTTCTGAAAGAGACTGAGTGGAACATGAGAAAAATTTTGAATCAAAATATTACTTCAGTTGTTGATAGGAGCAACTTCAGGATATTTCATTGCTATGTATGAGTTAAACAGCGATTCCAATTTTGAATTTGAAGGTAAGATGGCATCTACAAGAGTTGTAAGATCATCTATTCAATGTAATGGCTCATGTCCTTCATGAGGATTTTATCGCTATGATCTGTCTGGATTTGAAAAGTCGTCAGGGAACTTTTTCTACCGATTAGCGAGTTAAAACGAGCATGTTTTGTGTAACGCTCCTTCACTTACGACGCACACACATCAGCTGGAGGCCTAACACGAATTTAGCGCTATAGCGTGTTGTTTTGGAAGGGCTAGTTTTGCTGACTCTGGTAAAACTTACGCAGGACATTTGCATAAATCATACTTGATTGATAATCTTTTTTTTTTCCATATGGTTGCTCTTTTAGCAGCGGTTGAAACGACCACCAAGTTACATTCACTTTCTGCATTGACTGCCATGTTACATATCCGTTTCTTTGCTTCTAAAAGTTCTCCATGAAGTAAATATTGTTTAAACGATACTTTCCCATTACAATTGCGTGTTACTTTTTACTCGCCAGTGTGGATTAGACTTTCTTAGATGAAATGCCGTTTTCCAGTAAACAATGTAAATTTTATGACATAAATCTACCTCAGTGAAAACGATTTCACAAGGGACAGAATGGTATGGTCGGTTAATTTTCCACGCAACTCTCACGTGCTTAGACGTTTTCTACCGATAAAATTCGCTTATAGCTAACCTGGACTTTACCCCATTGCGTGTCAATTTCCTGTAAACAACCTGCATTTTATCACGTATTTTGCATACACAGGGCAAAGTCCAGATAGACAACAACCAATCAAGTTGCCCACCTTATTATCCTTTGAAGAATGATACTTTCTCTTGGTTCAATCTACTTTCACTTGTTCGAAGAATGGAGACCGGAAAATGGAGATAAAATAGAGCTTTCCACTGCAAAATTATATGGAAGAGTATTTTGAGGCAACCATCTGTTACTGAACAAAAAGCTACGCGGCGCCTATATTTGGGCGGGAGTTGTGGATCAGCGGATTGAATTGAATTGGTTTGCTATTTTAGCAAAATCGCTGTGTTTTTAACATGGAGGGTTGTGGGGACTAAGACTTCGGAACAAGTTGATGCCAACCATGACAATTTGGAAATACTAAAGTTGCCAGAGGAAAGGCAGGATCATTTCTTAAAAATTTGCAGTTGAACGCAGTGACTTTGTTTACAAGGATTTCTCTTGCTTACATCTAATAACAAACCTTTGAAGTTTTTTTTGCCTCGGAGCGATATATCACAGAAGGTATTTTATAGACCTCAAAGTTTTTTGACTGATTGAAATTAAAAGTATGTGGCAGTGACTTCCACAAGTTTTTTTTTGGTCAGAAAAGTATAATTGTTTTGTCTGCAATATTAATTTATGTATGGATTCAATCGCCAATGTTTACACATGAAAGATGATTGTATTAATTAATTGAATTTAAACAATGGGCCAAAACTTTTACTGTTCCCAAGGGTGGTTGTTTTTATCAGTACTTTAAAAATAGTAGTGATTCACAGTACTTGGTTTATACTTTAAATAAATATATTTAAGTTCACTCGAAAGATGAGTATAAACTGTAACAAGCTTATCATTGATGCGCGGCCAGTACTTCAAATCTGACTGACACTCAATGCCAAAACTCAACCTCATTCCCTGGATATGTCCACACATTACTTTACGCTACTTAAAAACTGCGGGCTATTGTGTATTTTCTTGCACAGGAAAAACCGAACGGTATTTGTGATTCTGGCCCTTAATGGTCAGAATAATAACTAGGACTTTCTCTCTGACGAAGAAACGGCAATAAGCACAATTTTAACCTACGAGCAGGTCGTTGTTTGGTCTCGTCATGCAATGAATGTTGGAGAGAGAGAGAGAGAGAGAGAGAGAGAGAGAGAGAGCGTTGCATGACAAGTTCAAATTAGGGCTGTGGAGAGGATTGCAGGAAGCGTACCAATGCAGTTTATTTTGGCAACAATTCAGACACCAGCATCTGTTGTGTAGTATCCTATTTCAACCTACGTATCCAAAAAAATAAGTCCTGCATGCGTAGCATGCCTATGTTTTAGCAAAGTCAGTCTCATGTGTCCCAAAAAAAGTTGATGGAAAAAAAAAACTGATGTATGAAAGCAATCCTTCTACACAAGTAGGGTTTATTACTGCAAGGATCACTTGCATGCATTTCATGAAACTGCAGTACACATTTATGATTTTCGTGTATTCAAATTCATGAAAAAATTGATGTTACCCTGCCACATTGAACTTTTGGGGTGAGGTGCATGAAAAGTAGCCCTCTTATCATACACCCTTCTTCTATTTAAATGGAAACTTTGCGCTGCTATTTTAGAGATACCATAATGCTTTTTATGTCTTTTTGTTTTTCCCTCATGGTAAGTTTTCAAGTTTCTTCCATCTAAAGGATGTAGATATATACTATTTCTAAAGCTATAGTCCATGACCGTGATGCCTAGCTAAACCTACAACAGTTGGTTGAGAATTTGGTGTTTTCTCTCGAAAGCTTGACCTTTGTGAAGCATAAGAGCTCAGTATTAACACTGGCTAGTGAAGTTCTTGTATTTTCGTAATTTCAAATTATTCTTCAGTTAGCTTCCCACATGTAGTATTACCTAATTTTAGTATGTTAAGTAAGCAGAAGCACTATAGTCAGTATGTTGTACTTGTATCTGAAAGTCACCCGTATTGAGATTGGTCCAATATGAATTGAGTCTATTTTGATGTCATTTATCTCTACTACAGGAACATACTCTTAAATTATGCAACACATAATCCTCGGGTCGGATATAATCAAGGTATGTCCGACCTACTAGCAACTGTGCTAGCTGTGGTTCAAGATGAGGTTGATGCATTCTGGTGCTTTGTTGGTTTGATGGAAAGGAGTGTGTTTGTGACATCACCTAAGGATGATATTATGGACAGCCAACTGGTGAGTAGAATAACTCCTACATAATTTCAAATATGTCATCTGAGAAACATCAACATCCCAATCATTTTTAATTCTGTGCAAGTTTCAATGGAATTTAGATTACTCAAGGCAAATTATGCATTGGAATGCCTTAATGAGTTGACCTCCAGAGCACTTAGAAGGTGTTTACTTCTGTGAAGTCATGAGAAACTAGGTCTACCACATTTTGGCTATTTTGAGCATTGGGCTAGAACACTTAGCTTTAAAACAGTACAGAAATTGCACCTCCTGCAAGACTCTGACAAAGTACACCAAACTGCAAAGCACTCATGTTACAACTTAGTACTTGTCTTGCAACTTTGCACTCATGTTAAATCAAAATGCACTTGTTTTCAGCCAATCAGACATGCTTAGTTTTTTCATCTATCTCATAATCACCTTTATAACAACATAGCTTCATTTGCACCATATAACTGGATTTTTTGCAAGAAATCGGGTAGAATGGCTTTTGCCATTACCTACTTCTGACCTACTTACATGCTCCTCACATTACTTAACAATTATTCCACAAGCGCACGTTAGATATGAGATGATAGATAGCCAACGAGGGGCGTAGCGCCGAGTTGGCTATAATCATCTCATATCCAACAAGCGTGAGTGGAATAATTGTTTATTAAAAAAAAAAAAAACGCCCCCAAGATATTGATTATGGTATATTGGCTCATATACCATAATGGCTAAGCCAATAAAAAGTCTTGAATTGCATTATCCAATGATCCAGTTAATAAATTGTAATATACAGTGATGATAAAAGTGATGATGGAAGTCTATCACATATAGAATGAAGAGATATGAAATTGGCTTGAAATTGGAAAGTCAGAATTGAGTGCATAGTTTTTGTGTACAAAACACAAACTGGGGCATCCAGCAGATACTCTTGTGACTTCAGCTTCAAGCCTCAGTGATATGTGTATTCCCACATCAGAGCAATGTTTTCCTATATCAAGCTTGCGTACAGTTTCTGTTAGTTGTGAGATACAGCTGAACACAATCTATTTTATACTGTTTGCCATACATGAAAATTGATACTTTGTAGTATGTCGTTTTTAACACTTCACTTTCTAAACAAAGAAAAGCATAGTTCTCAAATGGAAATTAAAACAAATCAATTGTAAAGGAGGTCCCCCAGTTTGTCTTTCTTTTACAGTTTAAAGTGAGGTCATAGTGGGGTCAAAGGAAAGGGGGTAGGGAAAGAAAAATGGCAATAGCCAACATATTTGAGGAATATGCATATTGCAAGGGACATGTGTATGGGGATTTACAGAACAGATCACTTTTCCCTGGTTTAATCTTTCGAAAACTTCAGAAACAATAGTGCTGAAGATAGAGCTTAGGGAGGAAAGTACCCATAGTTTTAGGGCATCGTTATGAATATGTATTTAGTTGAAACGTTTTGTATTGAGAAGTTTCATGTTAAGAAAAAAGACCCAGAATGCTCTCATTGTCTTATACAGTCGTTAAAAGGGTTATGGCATTAGTTGAAGGGGCATTTTCGTAAGATGGTCACTGGTTTTGCAAAAATATGGGAGTCAGTCAGCAAATCAGTGTGAAGAATAAGCAAACATTAACCACAAACGTGAAAAACAAAAATAGGCAACTATCAACGCGTTAAGAAAACAAAAACAAAAAAAGCAAACAAACAAAACCAAAATGTAGTGTTTGGTTGACGCATCTGTATTTTCTAACATGGGAAAGGAGATAAAGAGTAGCACGGCCATTAATTTCAGTACAATACAGATTTTCGACAGCCCAGAATGGGCTTAGGTTTGATAAACCTCTTTATTTCATTACCATTACCACTTACCATCCCTCTCATACTATTTGCACATTAACATTTTTTAGATTGCAGGAGGCGTGTAACATATGAACCTAGTTGCCTACACTGTAGCTCACCATGAAGTGTTCTCTATAGCTCTGTGGTCGAGCACAGGAATTGTGTTCATTTCAGCAGCGTATTTTGGACAGTGCGTTGAGTGAAAACCACAGTTATAGCCTGCATTCAAACTTTAAAGAGTTTCTATAAAGAAAAAAAGTAGGTTATGATACTGAAGCTAGTTTGCTAAAGGCTCTTTTTGAGAAAATATGAAGGACTCTATTAAGAGGTTGCCTGCTTGCAGACGTGTCCTATTTCCTTTGTTGCACGCGTGCAACAAAGGAAATGGGAGACGTCTACGCACAGGCAACTTACGAGGTGGCTGATGAACTATTATTAATCGTTAAAGTAAGAATTAGGAGTGACAAATTAGATGACTAAACAAGAGAAGGTCTCTTTAATCTTCTTTCTCTTCTTTTTAGTGTTACTTGCGGGAGCTGTTACGTCTCCTACTTCCTCGATTTTATGCACACTGTTTACTACAAGACGATGCTATGGACATGTTATTTTGTCACCGCTGGCTTCTTCTCTCCTTTAAACGAGAATTCTTCAATGAAGAAGTTTTGAAAATGTGGGAAGCTTGTTGGTCTCATTATCAAACCAAGTACTTCCATATTTTCTTGTGTGTCGCCGTGGTTCAGGAATATGGAGGCCCTGTTGTTGACCAGAATATGTCAGCAGATGATATGTTGCAATTTTTTACGGATCTATCCATGAAGATGGATGGATCAAGGGTTTTACGCATGGCACGTCAGTCTTTACTAAAATTTCGCCAGTTACCTGGAATTCCTTGTTCATTGCGTAGACTTTTGTCAGGACCAGGAATCTGGGACAGTGCTCCTTTGCCGGAGATTGAGTGTAGCTGTCTGAATAGTTGTGTTTATTTACATGAAGAATCAAAACTTTGTAAATGAGAGAGTTGCTGGCAAAATAATGCAACGTGTGGAGCAAAAGAAAATGTTTTCGGAGGAGATTAGGTCAAATCTCAATGGACTGACTTGCTAGACTAATGTGGCGGCTATTTCATTTGCTTTCGTGAACACAGCCTTGAAATTATTTGGAAACAATTTAAATACCAAATCGTAGTTTTAAAGAATATATTGTTTACCGTGTGAAAATCTATTTGGTGCTTTGTCAGCATTTTCTTTTACATCCAAACACAGGCAAGTGTTTTCAAAGAGAAGAGGAAAGAAAAGTTTTACTCAAAATTCAAATGTGTATCTAAATGGACAGCAGTAAGATACTTCGAATTAAAAAGTATACTTAGTGCGTTAGGCCATGATCTTGGAGACTTGAGTGAAGTAGAAAAAAAATATATGAATAAATACAAGAATCTGGGGATGGTTGTTCTCTTGGACAGGGGGACCCTATGAGAAATTAGCTATTAACTGGGATCAGTCATTGAAGGAAAATTCCCCTAACCATCAATGTGTCTATCAATAGATCGTGGTCAGAATTTTCATACAATGCCTTACTTTAGAAGCATTTATCATTCCTTACAGTGCTGTTGCCTTGAAGGGAAAAGTCCAGGAAGCCTATTTAATGTGTAATTTAGTGCGGTGTGTTTGTTTAAAAAATTACGAAAGACTTAAACAGTAAACAGATGTGCTGCTACCTCCAGAGGTTAAGTTTTTCTTTTTTCTTGCATTGGCTGCTAGGGATTCAATATGATTCAATCAAGTGCTTTATCCAAACTATAAATTAAAGGGCGGCTCCTGCCAATTTTTATCACTCTTTACTTATCTTGATATCTCAAATGGTTACTTAAAAGGACATTAATGATATAGGAACCAATCAACTTTTACATCCAGGGGGTGGGGAAGGGAAGAACTATATGACGTCAAGGGTATTTCATCGTATCTAGATGGTAGGATGATTTTTTCGACGCAACTAACAAAGGCATGTAATTTTTATTAGGTTCATATCGCAGTGTAAATGATTAGGGGTCAAAACTACATCCCTTCTAAGCGGTTACCAATACAGTTTTCCTGTACGTTTTCTCCCGTTGTAGTATTTAAAACAAGTCAAGGTAGCTGAAGTGATTGCACTGGGCAAAATGCACTAACTACCTTACTTGGTTAAGGTGGTACAAACAGTCAAATTAGCCGAAATGCTTCAACTGCTAAAAACGCACAAAGTAGTTAAATTGGTTGAACTGCTAAGACAATCAAACTAACCGAAATTGTTAAACTGGCTAAAAGCACCAACTAGCTGAATTGATTAACGAGGTGAAATAAGTCAAACTTCCTGAAACTGTTAAATTGCACGCAAACGCAAAAACTAGCTGAATTAGTTAATTTTTTAAAAATTAAGAACGTGTCCACGAGAGCACCAGGCAGTCGTGGTACATGCCATCTCACCGATTTCAATGAAACTTTGCCAGTTCAAAGGATCCACCCCAAACTCAAAATGAGAAACTGGTTTCTGCTTTGGTTATTTCCGAGGGGAGATAAACCACCCCCGGTTTTTTTTTTAAGGTTTTCACTAAAAAATGGCCTCAAAATAGGTAAAATGTAAGAAGCTCTTACTGCAACTGTATTTAACAAATTACTGTCACGGTTTGCATACATATTGGTATATCCTTTATGAAGGTACGATACAAGTTTCAATCGATTTGATTAACGGCTTGTCAATCAACAGAGGTGAATGAATTAATGTGCTTTTACACTTTTCGATTCATTCAAATATTTGGTAACTTTGAGATCAAATATCTCCCCTTGCCAGAAAGCTACAACACTAATTTGAACCTCCCTTTCTAATCCATTATTTCATCTCTCAAAATTACTAAAAAAATCTTTGGATACTGCCATATTTTTGTCTGGAACGCTTTTAAAATCTACCACTGTGAAAGCTTCTTTCAACAACACATGTCACGCAATTCTAGCTGTAGGCAGTTATTTAGGCAAGTATACCATCATTTTATAGCTCGTTAAACAAGATGATAAAGGAAGCTGAGAAATGTAAGCAACTTTCCAGATTCTCGGTAGAAATTGGAAATTCCACGTTTAAAGAGAGGCATGTAGGCAAAATATTGATGGGAGAATCGTACCGTTTCTCCCTTCTGTCGATTATTTAGGAGATTTGCTAAAAATAGGCAAATATAGCTTTCTTACAAATTAAAGACTAATAAACATTTATTAGTCTTTAATTTGATTGTTTATTATCATAGTTTACAATCAAGAGGTTGTAACAGGAGAGGAGACTTTAGAGTCAAATGCTGCCGCGGCATTCTTGTTGACATACAAGTTTCCGTTTGCAGTACAGACGAGAAGCTCTGCCTTCTCGCCTGAAAGGAAATTTCAGTAGCTATGTTAAATCAATAAACTGCGCTGTTATTCCAGAAAATAAAAGCAGAATGGTGCTTTCGTTGTCACTTACTACTATCGAACATTTCCATGCAGAACTTGGCCGAACTAAATATCTGTGGCTTGACTTGGAAACGTTTCATAGGGATATGAATTATTCAAACGCCTTGTTCACGCTGTCTGCTAAGGAACAACTTTCGAACATTCTGCAGCTCTCTTTGCTATTTGCTTGCTTATTGATCAAAAAAAATCTGCATTTTTTAAAAAAACATGCTGTAACTACACGAATAAGATCTGTATCTCTTTCTTACTCGATCTTAAATTGCGTGACATAAAGAATGAGGCCGCAATATTTTGATCCGTAGGCAGGTAATGATGAAAAAATTCCAAAAATATCTAGTTGTTTTCGGAAGCATGACAATAAATTTGAACGAAAAGCGAGAGGCATAGGTCTATATTTTTAGTAACCTAAGGGTAGCTGTGCCCTACCCTGCGGTCTTCGACTAAGTTTTGCCACTTCACATACGCTAAAAAGTTACGAAAATTGAATTAGATGTCGACTTCCAGAGAGTCTGAATTTAGGGCTAACTAAACTGAACGATGGCTGTAAATTCTCACGATTAGCTGAGCTCTTTTTGCTCGCAAATTAAACAGCGAATTATAATGCGCAATTAATAAAAAAATGTTCCTTCGGCAGCTGGCAACTGCAAGAGGACAAATGAATAATCTAAAGTTCAAGGTACCATCTTATCTTCTGTCTTGTTTGGTCATTTTCGACATCTGAGGCTAGACCATCCGCATCAGACACTTCGTCCTCGGTCCTGCTTACAGCGGGGGATCTCTGCAGTAAACCAGTTCTGGTTAGGGCAGATAGTCGGCTGAAGTATTGACCAATCTGCTGCTCTATCAACCACTCAGTCTTGGAGAACATTTTCTGGCCAGTGTTGTCTCTTAAACTCTTCATTTGGGGAGCCACATCTGAAGCTGATGCCTTCTTAGCAGTTTCTTCAAGAACCTGCCATCGAACATGGTTGCCGTTGTGAGCTCCCGATTGTTTTTAATCTTTTTGTGTGCTAGTTATTACGTTTCATGCACAAAAACCAGCTAGAGAGCTGAGCAAGCAGGCTGTTATTCTATCTGTGTCCAGTGGTTCTGTTACAAAGCTTTTTCCATCAAGAAACTCGGATTTATCGCGGAGATTCATATGCAAATCACAAGTTCTGCCATCTTTGAAATGTGTTGCTTTATGCTTTAATATGCTTTAATAGGTTTACTCCTAAAACAGTTAAAACTGCACTAGGAGTTTTTACAGTATATAACTTATAACTATATTTAAAAGTATTAAAATAGTGATGACAATAACATAAATAATAACTTTGATTATAAAACAATAATATTTCTAAAATAAATAATTTTAATTAATATACACCGCATAAATAAAAGCTCTACTGTCTTTAAATATATAAGGACACATTGCCTTGAAGTCAGCTAGAGAGTTAGGGATTTGAAGTAAGTTGATATTGTTCCAAGTTCTGATAGTTCTGGGGTAGAAAGAATATTTGTATGTGTCATTCAGGGTGCAAAGCTGTTGGAATGGTACACAATTTGGGTACCTCGATGGTCTGGTAACTTGCATTATCTCGGATGGTAGCGAGATCCCAACAAGGCCCCTATAGATTTTGTAGAACAT